AAAGTTTATGGAATTGTATCATATGTTGCACCCGAGCTCCTTAGAGGCAATAATACAAAGAACACTAAAGAATCAGATATCTATAGTGTTTGGATGTTAATGTGGGAAATATTTGCAGGTCATCCACCATTTGATGATAAAGCTCACAATCATCGTTTAATTTTTGATATATGTGAAGGTTTACGACCACCAATACTACCTGGAATGCCTGATGACTATGTGCAAATGATGCAGAAGTTTTGGGATGTGGATCCATCAAAAAGACCAACTAGTAGAGAGCTTTATCGATTTGCTTATAATAAACATAACGAAATTATTAAAAATAATAGTGATGATAATGGTAATAATACTACTAGTAGTGGTAATAGTACTTCACAACAAGCACACAAATCACATCCACATGCATATCATACAAGTAGAATATTAGATGAAGAGATTGCTAAATATAAAAGTTGTACAAGTAATAGTTCGTTAAATAATCTTGATTGTAACTCTTTTTTCTAAATGTTAACAATGGTAAATAAAATTTCTTTATTAATTAATTGGAAATTAATATCCATTAATTATTACTAACGATATTAATTGATACATTAGATTCTAGTAACAATAGTAAAGGAAAAGATGCAATGAATGACTAATTTAATCAATCTCTGCTATCTTTTTATTTATATTTTTATTTCATCCTTATTTTATTTCTCATCTTGTAACAATATTTTTGAAATAATAAACTTTTTACAATTTTTTGATTCTTTGTTAAATAGTGATATTGCGAGGTATCATTTTGGTTAATTAACAATTATGGCTTAACTTTTGGGCTACTCTTGTCAATTCAATGCTTGTCAATTAATTAATTTATGAATTTACTTTGGCTCTTTCTTGCACTTAGACGAATCTGTGAGACACTTAATGGTACCAAATAAATAAATATGGCCATTTTGCAATGCTTTCAGTTGTTTACATTTATTGGTTGATTGCAAACTCGCTTTGATAACAACTTAAATAGCTTGTTTAACAGCCTTACATTTACGATTACAATAATACTACTTCATTAACACCCGCTAGTTAACCAACATTAGTCCAAACCTTTGCTTACTCACTAAAGCAAATTATGTTATTAATCGTTGTTAACACTCACTAGTTAACCAACGTTAGTCCTAACTTTGCTTGCTTGCTCATTAAAGCAAATAAACATGGTGTTTTATCAAAGCTCCACAATTGTTACCCTTTTTACCAAAACTTGCTGCTTTTATCAAAGAAAATAAAGATAATGTTTTAATTTTAAAGGTTTATTAACGATTATTTTATTTAATGAAAATAATGATTCTATCACAGAGTTCTATTTATTTTATTAGAATGTATTATTTTCCTTTGAAGTTATGTTATTTCAAGTGAAGACCATAAGTTATCCTTAATGAAATTTTCGTTGATCAATACAATAAAGATAAAGACAAAGATGCAAAGTAATTTAATCAATCAATATTGACACTATAAAACTTCCATAATTATTTACACAGTAATAATTACCAAAGGCTTTTGCGTAAAATTTCATTTGACCCAGCTGGAACATAAAGTACCGATGATTTTATCTACTCCGATCATACATCACATTATTAATATAAGAGATGTTTGAGTTTAATAGTGTGGGAATTGAACTTTTGTATTCAGTAAAAAAAAAAACTTAGCTCCTTGGGAACAACTAATGAAACAAAGGAGGTATGTGAGCTTTTATATTTATTAGCCTTTAAACCAGCTTCACTTGATTTAATGGCAGACAGCTTTGGCAAACAACATTCGTTTGAGTATCAAAATTAGCATTAGATGCAAAGTATCGCATCCCTATCATGTATTCATGATCAATGATGCAATTTTAATAAATAGACTATTTCATGGCTAGATGGTACACTGTTTGAGTAATCTAATAAATTACATATAAATAGACCCGCTACCCCCTCAAACGGTGCATTAGTTTTGCTTTTTACGTTGCATTCGAATTCGAGGGTTGAGGCACATAATGCTGAAATGGTGTTCTTTATATGATTCGGCTTTACACGTTACATTCAAATGCGAGGTGACTATATATTTGTTCGGAGCATCAACATTAGCCAGTCATGTTTTTCTGTTGCGTTGAGCAAAAAATTTTATTTATTTAAAAAAATTACATGCACAAAGGGAAATTGTTTACGAATTTAATATTTAAATTTAATAAAAGATCCTTTGCAAAGAAAAATCCTCATGTGAATCAAAAGTTACTTACGAATTTCGATTGTTAAAAAGATCAACTAAACTTTTTTTTCTTAATTAAAAAAACAATCCTTTTGTCCTCGTATTTATTTATTTGTCCCAGATTAAAGGTCAATTGGATTTTTTTTTTCAAGTCTATCACTATAGAAGAATAAACATCATGCAAACATCAAAAGTTATTTACAAATTTTGTTTGTTAAAAGAAAAAATCCTTTGCAAAGATTAATCAATGTATTTTATTTGTTTTCTCCAAATGGTCAAAATCAAAAAAACTTTGTACATATTGTTTGTTTATCAATAATTGAATTGACCGATAATCACAATAACAACAAAGTAAAATGTAAAAAAACGTTTAAATATTTGCCCTGCCTTATATTTTTTTTTACCTTAATATATTAATAATAATACATACATCATAAAAGTTTTTTTTTTAATTAAATGCAAAGAATATACATATAAATATTTATATTATTTATACACAAATTGTCAAAAATGGCTACCAAAGATTAAAACTAACAATGATTTTTTTTTAATAATTTTTTTTTTTTTTTTGGAATAAAATTCATGGTAAAATCTGAAAATCCCCAACTTAATGTGACAAAACCAATAATTTCCCAATTTATATTGACTTTAACTCAAAAGAAATTATTGCTTTATTAATTTGTAAAAATATTCAACATTGGCATAATAAAATTTTTAAATAAATTTATTTAATTTAGTAATATAGGATTATTAGCATTTTATACCTTTATTATTGAGAAAACAATTTTATGATTAATAATCAGTTTTTTATAATTAAAAATCAGCCAACAACCATTATCCTTAAAAACATACCACAGTTCCAGATGAAGAAGCTATACGTGGCCAAAGATCTGCACATTCCTTCCCCACTGGACCTGTAATAGCGGAACCTTTCATTTCTCCTTTTGGATTTACAATAACACCAGCATTATCTTTAAAAAAAATATATTTCATAAATTATATTGTTGTTTTAGCAATATATTAAAAAAAATCAATTTATTTGTTTACCTTCAAAATATAGAAAAACACCATCTCTTCTTCTCCAAGGTTTTCGTTGCCTAATAACAACAGCAGGCATAACTATAAAAATTACATTATTATTATTATAATTAAATGAAAGATATCATTTCATATATGGGGGCTTTTCAATAGAAACGGACCATGTTGTGAAAAAGCAATTTTGAGTTAATACCATTGCTATATGTAATTTCTCACGTAGAACGTTTTTGGCTTAGAAACCATGCCCACTTTGCATAGTAAAATATCGAGATACTTTTCTTTAAAATTTCAAAAACGATAGTAAACCTCTTAAAATGCGGATCTTTTTTTGATTTCCTCAAAACATCATTTTCACAAGATGGTCCATCCGTTCTATTGAAAAGCCCCCATATATATGATTAATTAATTAATTTTACCTTTTTTTCTTAAATCAGGTTTTCCTTTTTTAAATAAATAAATTTTTTGCTCGACGCAACGAATAAAAACATGACTGGCTAATGTTGATGCTCCGAACGAATATATAGTTACCTCGTATTTAAATGTAACGCGTAAAGCCGAATCATATATAGAACACCATTTCAGCACTACATACCTCGGCCCTCGAATTCGAATGCAACGTAAAAAAGCAAAATCAATGCATCCTTTTTTGCATTTTTTTAGGGGGTAGCGGGTCTATTTATATGTTTGTGGTAGTATTTATTAGTTTAATCAATCAGTGTATCATCTAGCCATGAAATAGTCTGTAACTAAGAAGTTGCAACTCGGGAGGTTGCAATGTTACTTTCTAGTACTATATATATAGCAAAATTTGTATTTGAGGGTCAGATTATTTTCGGTTTTATTAAAAACCTGCTTTAAAAAATTTCTTAAAGCAGGTGCATATGATAAAGAAGTTACAGTATATCTCAAATTTGGCGGTGGCTGCTACATCAAAAAATTTACTGTTTTACAACTCCCGTGACATGTCCTGTGACTGTTAATGTTCAGCGCAGTTACGGTAACGGAATCCGAATCTTTTAAACATCCTGTTTCTCAACTTTAGTAAACTGAATTTATCAAAGGGTCAAACATTGTAATGAGTCGTTTTTTTCTTTTTTTTGCTGATCTGGCTTGAAAAAATGATTGCAAATTGGATTTTTTAGAAATTGTCAAAAATTGAAATTTGAACAAATCATTTTCGTTTTCCAAAAAAATGATGAATGGTTATTTTTATATGCGAATCCCCGTTACTATTTATCTGTTTGTCATGTTTGTGCAACTGGAAAATTTTTGTCCACAAGGTCAGGATTGAAAAAGAAGCAAATGCTTGGCTGGAAATCGTGTTTCTACCATCAGTCTTCGCCTTTCTCTGACATTTCAGGCCGTTTGAAATGACCAGAAATGACAAAAAACTGATGCCTTGTCTTGGGAGCCTTTGCCTTGGATCGTCAAAGACTTGTTAGTATCAATATTAATTGGTCACGAGACCGGGATTCAAAAGACTTTTTTTATTGTCTGATCGTAAACAAACAATATAATTTTTTTGATTAATTAAAAAGTTTTTGATTTTGACCATTTGAAAAATAATGGATGATCCTTCCAGAATTTTTTTTGATTTTGACTATTTGAAGGATGGTGGATGATGACCTGGATTTCCTTTCGGATAAAACAAATGATTATATTAATAAAAATTAATCTGAAAATGGATTTTTTTATTAAAAAAAAGCTTAATTAACAATTGGAATTCATAAATTACTTTTTGATTCACAAAATCATTACCATGAAGATCCTTCTTTGCGAAGGATCTTTTTTTTTTTTAATTAAAAAGAAAAAAGCTTGGTTGATTTTTTTTAACAATCGAAATTTGTAAAACTTACCCCGTGTATGAAAAATATTTTTCCAAATTGATCCATCCGATTGACCTTTAATCTGGGATGAGTAAATAAATAAATGAATAAACAAACAAGCAGATTTGCCTCTCAAATCTTTTTTACTCGCTTGCTTTTTATCTAGTATTAAAATAATTTCTTTGATTTATTCAAAAGGTAAATAAAAAAACCAATTGAACGTTCTTTACTCGCTTGCCTTTTGTCTAATATATCAAAAAAAACCAATGATGTCATCCATCTTATCATCAATCATGTTCATCAAAGTTAGTCAGTTAGCGGAACATGCAGAGTGGCTGGGATGGCTGTGTGCTACGTAGAGGATCAAGAATACATTACAAAGCATTCAGAGTAAACGATGTCACGATTTTTCTAATTTAAATTTAATCAATTGATTATCAGGGTCCGTTATTATATTTAGGCTTTTTTGTTGAACATTCGGTAAGAATAAAATTTTTTTTTAATTTGGATGGCTTGCTTGGGTACGGAATTCTGATTGGATAATACTAATCTATATTTCACAAAACTCTGTTGCATTGAGTTGAGCTTCTCTTCCCGGAGGTCATCAAAACATTTTATCTTTTGATTTTGACCGCCTGAGAGCAGATGTCAATGTCGTAAATGAATATAAAGATTAAATTTCTTAAATCAAAAAGTCTAAAAGAAATGTACAAGCCTTGATTGATATTATGCA